AAAAAAATAATAATATATATTTAAAAACAAATGTAATCTTTAAAAAGTTTTAATAATTGCTAAATTTTGCCTTCATTGCCAATTTTTAGTTGTGTTTACAAATTCATTTGCTTGTATTGCGTTTTTATAATGGCGCCATTTATTTGACGCATTTTTGTTTTTGCAAAATCGCCACCATAGCTGGTGGGAAGAAGATAGCCAATGTGCGCGCAGCTATGCAAAACCAAAGCGGCAACTATTCCTAACAAAAACAACAAACACAATAAAAAATGGACTAACCGAATTAGTCATAGAAAACATGAATGGAGCGGATAAACACACACACATGCAAACAAAAGTTAGCATGAGTGAATGGCCGAAATGAGAATGCCGACTGAGAGCTTAATTTGAGCGGCAAGAGCACACCAATGCAAATAAAAACTTGACAAACACAAGCGCAAGTAAATAACTGCGCTTGTGGGCGGCAGAGAGCGCACTAAAAGTGTGAGTGAGCACGACAATCCGAGAGCAGATGAGAACGTGTGCCTTCTATAGCACGCATACAACGAAATAGTTTTGTAGTCGAAAGCTTGCACAGCAAAGTGTGGGTGAGTGATCTGAAAGTGTAAACAAAGGAAAAGAGGGAGAGTGTAGCTGTTTGTGTGTGTGTGGAAAAATGAGCGCAAAAGCACAACAAAACACATCTCATGAACAGTTTTTATTACCGAAAGCTCTACGCTCACCATTTTGTTGATTGCCTAGTATGTATGACTTGAGCTTTCTTGGTGATCACCCTGAAAAAAAAGCTGCAAAATGGCGGTGTAGTGTCAAGGCGTGCACAAGTGTGGGCTGGTGCCAAGAGAACACTCGGTATATATGTGATGTAAGGAAAGCTTTTAGAGAGCACGCTGCACAGTATGTGGCAGCTTTTGCACAAATCGCCAAGTGGGACAGTTGATGGGGCGATGCGCTGCGCTGCTGCTGAAATGGCTGGCAAACAAAGGCGGTTAGACGAGCTTTTAAAGTTACATACAGTTGCATATATAGACATATATATTATATTTGTATTATGTGTGTGGGTATTATTGTATGTTGCTTTTTGTATTTATTGGTGTGTTGGTGAACTGGCAGCGCTGCGGCATTAAAATTATGCGTTTAATGGCCTAAGCGCTGGCAAGCTTTTAAAATATGGTCGATGCGATTTTGAACTTCATAAAAGTGTTAATGATCTCTGGAGGCGAGGAAAGCGAATGACTTATTTTGCAGCTATGTAGAATGAATGTGAATATGAAGAAAGCGTAGCCYGAGAAAATTATAAGTAAGTGACTAAAAGAGCTTTTCACGTAGCCAATATGTAGAGCTTGTAACATAAGAAGCTACTAATGAACACACAATTCATGAGATTGTAGACTGAAGTCTTAAAAATATATTTTAACTAAAGAGCGATTTGAAGAGCACAAAAAAATTCCAAAGATTAATTCGCCTCAGTTGGGGAAATCTTTTCACGAGCAAGCGTAATAGAAAAGAAACAATAAGAAGTGTCTTGGCAGATAGATTGTGTGGGAAAAGCCATGCGAAAAATTTGGTTGCTAACAGAAAATGTTGTGGAATTTTATGGAACACTAGATTGTAGAGTGAGCGGATGCATACTCAACTAAAAATTAGCTAACTAGAGCAGAGAACGTTTTTTGCTAGAGTAAGCTCTTCTATGCGCAGAGGAATTTCGAACAAAGAGTTTAATAATGAAATGCTACACAAAGAAATGAACTAATTGACTTAAAGGTTTGGAAAACGACTAATTAAACTTGAAGAGAGAATGCTAAATACGAAAAAAGAGATATGATGAACGAGTAAGAACAGCAACCAATGGGTATGGGAGTTGTATAATGGAAAGTGGAATGTATGAGAGCTTTGTGGCGTGCTGAAATTGGAACAGTTGGGGTACGAAAGCTGGGGAAAAACATGTGTTGGGGCGAGTGCAGTAATATAGCAGTGGGGAGCAAAAGCGCTGAACGCAACGAATAGTAAGCGCTATAGAACAGTTAAATATAAGAGATTAGCTTACTAAGAAGAGCGCTAAGAGAAAGCTAAGTAAGAGGGGCGTCAAATCAGAAGAGTATTAAATCGCAGGAGCGCTAACTCGGAGGAGCATTAAATCGGAGCAGCGCTAAATCAGTGGAGCGCTACTAAGAGCAGCGCCGACTAAAAGCTGCGCGTGACTGTGCGCTGCTGCTACAATATGAGCAGAGCGCGCCGCTGAATGGGGGTGAGTAAAGTGCGGCAAATTTTAAATTTTATAGCTAATGGCGCATGAGAGATTTGCAGAATTTTGCTGCGCCGCGCTCTTGCTACGCCTACTCACTAGTCAGTGAATTTAAGCGAAAATTCTATAGAGCAATTGCTCTTGGTCAGCACATTTGAGCGACGTATGGCTGCGCTCACTCTAATGCTGCTGACTAAGCTTTAATTTTGCAAATGCAAAAGCAAAAAAACAAGCACGAGAAAAAATTAGAATAAAACACATATAATAAAACGCTTATAAAAAATTTTTTGCATGAAATACATATACTATATATGTATATATA